AGCAGCAGGAGGTGGGGGTCAGAGCAGCAGGAGGTGGGGGTCAGAGCAGCAGGAGGTGGGGGTCAGAGCAGCAGGAGGTGGGGGTCAGAGCAGCAGGAGGGGGGGTCAGAGCAGCAGGAGGTGGGGGTCAGAGCAGCAGGAGGTGGGGGTCAGAGCAGCAGGAGGTGGGGGTCAGAGCAGCAGGAGGTGGGGGTCAGAGCAGCAGGAGGTGGGGGTCAGAGCAGCAGGAGGTGGGGGTCAGAGCAGCAGGAGGCGGGGGTCAGAGCAGCAGGAGGTGGGGGTCAGAGCAGCAGGAGGTGGGGGTCAGAGCAGCAGGAGGTGGGGGTCAGAGCAGCAGGAGGCGGGGGTCAGAGCAGCAGGAGGTGGGGGTCAGAGCAGCAGGAGGTGGGGTCAGAGCAGCAGGAGGTGGGGGTCAGAGCAGCAGGAGGCGGGGGTCAGAGCAGCAGGAGGTGGGGGTCAGAGCAGCAGGAGGCGGGGGTCAGAGCAGCAGGAGGTGGGGGTCAGAGCAGCAGGAGGTGGGGGTCAGAGCAGCAGGAGGCGGGGGTCAGAGCAGCAGGAGGTGGGGGTCAGAGCAGCAGGAGGTGGGGGTCAGAGCAGCAGGAGGTGGGGGTCAGAGCAGCAGGAGGTGGGGGTCAGAGCAGCAGGAGGTGGGGGTCAGAGCAGCAGGAGGCGGGGGTCAGAGCAGCAGGAGGTGGGGGTCAGAGCAGCAGGAGGTGGGGGTCAGAGCAGCAGGAGGTGGGGGTCAGAGCAGCAGGAGGTGGGGGTCAGAGCAGCAGGAGGTGGGGGTCAGAGCAGCAGGAGGTGGGGGTCAGAGCAGCAGGAGGTGGGGGTCAGAGCAGCAGGAGGTGGGGGTCAGAGCAGCAGGAGGTGGGGGTCAGAGCAGCAGGAGGGGGGGTCAGAGCAGCAGGAGGTGGGGGTCAGAGCAGCAGGAGGTGGGGGTCAGAGCAGCAGGAGGCGGGGGTCAGAGCAGCAGGAGGTGGGGGTCAGAGCAGCAGGAGGTGGGGGTCAGAGCAGCAGGAGGTGGGGTCAGAGCAGCAGGAGGTGGGGGTCAGAGCAGCAGGAGGCGGGGGTCAGAGCAGCAGGAGGTGGGGGTCAGAGCAGCAGGAGGCGGGGGTCAGAGCAGCAGGAGGTGGGGGTCAGAGCAGCAGGAGGCGGGGGTCAGAGCAGCAGGAGGTGGGGGTCAGAGCAGCAGGAGGTGGGGGTCAGAGCAGCAGGAGGTGGGGGTCAGAGCAGCAGGAGGTGGGGGTCAGAGCAGCAGGAGGTGGGGGTCAGAGCAGCAGGAGGCGGGGGTCAGAGCAGCAGGAGGTGGGGGTCAGAGCAGCAGGAGGTGGGGGTCAGAGCAGCAGGAGGTGGGGGTCAGAGCAGCAGGAGGTGGGGGTCAGAGCAGCAGGAGGTGGGGGTCAGAGCAGCAGGAGGCGGGGGTCAGAGCAGCAGGAGGTGGGGGTCAGAGCAGCAGGAGGTGGGGGTCAGAGCAGCAGGAGGCGGGGGTCAGAGCAGCAGGAGGTGGGGGTCAGAGCAGCAGGAGGTGGGGGTCAGAGCAGCAGGAGGTGGGGGTCAGAGCAGCAGGAGGTGGGGGTCAGAGCAGCAGGAGGTGGGGGTCAGAGCAGCAGGAGGTGGGGGTCAGAGCAGCAGGAGGTGGGGGTCAGAGCAGCAGGAGGTGGGGGTCAGAGCAGCAGGAGGTGGGGGTCAGAGCAGCAGGAGGTGGGGGTCAGAGCAGCAGGAGGTGGGGGTCAGAGCAGCAGGAGGTGGGGGTGTGAAAGAGCCCCCGCTGTGCAGCGTTTCTGAGGCTGGATCTGAACACTTACGTTTTCACCTGGAACAGTCTTTGTATGAACGGTTGGTAGAAAACGACATCCAACTATAGCGTTTTACTGCCACATTGTCTCCGTGTAAACTACTGGTGCTACTGGAGCCACTGGAGCTACTGGTCCAGTGGCTCAGATGAAAAAGCACAGGTCTGCGGTTCTGATGGTTGCTAGTTCAAATCCCCAGTGACTACCAATGACATTTGCTGATGTTGGGTCCTTGGGCATAACACTTCATGGAGAATGTCAGAAGTGCCATAAGTTGTTTGAAAAATGTTGTTTGGGTATTAATAATAATATATAAGTTATCGCATAAATTTGATCACGTACCTAATTTCATGTATGATATATGGTATACATTTCATAAACCTGTACCTACCTAACTGCCTCTTTGGAAGACTCCTGGTTCAAATCCAGTTCTGTCATTTTTTTTTTTTTTTATTGTCAGATTAAATACAAATTTAATATGTATGAATATATAGTATATACTGTATATGACTATGTGTTGTTGCAATAGTAATCTTGCATTAGGATTAATATTGCATCATCATTAGGGTAAAACTAAATGATGTGTAAAACACTCAAGACACAATTTTACTTAAAACCACCTGGTGTTAATACTAGGGCTGTCAAACGATTACATTTTTTTAGTTGATTAATCGCATAGTAATGGTGAGTTAACTCACGATTAATCACATGTTTAACATTCTATTTCAAATCCACTCCAATTGAAGTTAAATGAGATTATCAAATATAATTACCAGTATTGGGTAAATTACTTTGAAAAAGTAATTAGTTATAGTTACTTGGTACTTCTTCCAAAAAGTAATTGACTTACTAACTGAGTTACTCCACTATAAAAGTAACTAGTTACCAGTAAAAGTAACTATTGCGTGGTACCAAGCTTTAGCTGGCTGTAATTTAGGATAACTTCTAAGTAGATTAATTGTTGCAACAACCCCACCCTATTTTAGTATGATATGTTAGTTTAGGGAACTGTCCTGCAGGCAAACAGGTATAAGACAGGCCAAGGTGCCATTTAATTAAATTGCATTTATTTTCATCCATTTCATCCGCGCCTGACAGTCAAGAACCAGGGAGAATACAGTACGCAGATTGTGCCTGACAGTCAAGAACCAGGGAGAATACAGTACGCAGAGCGCGCCTGACAGTCAAGAACCAGGGAAAATACAGTACGCAGAGCGCGCCTGACAGTCAAGAACCAGGGAAAATACAGTGCGCAGAGCGCGCCTGACAGTCAAGAACCAGGGAAAATACAGTGCGCAGAGCGCGCCTGACAGTCAAGAACCAGGGAAAATACAGTACGCAGAGCGCGCCTGACAGTCAAGAACCAGGGAAAATACAGTACGCAGAGCGCGCCTGACAGTCAAGAACCAGGGAAAATACAGTACGCAGAGCGCGCCTGACAGTCAAGAACCAGGGAAAATACAGTGCGCAGAGCGCGCCTGACAGTCAAGAACCAGGGAAAATACAGTGCGCAGAGCGCGCCTGACAGTCAAGAACCAGGGAAAATACAGTACGCAGAGCGCGCCTGACAGTCAAGAACCAGGGAAAATACAGTACGCAGAGCGCGCCTGACAGTCAAGAACCAGGGAAAATACAGTACGCAGAGCGCGCCTGACAGTCAAGAACCAGGGAAAATACAGTACGCAGAGCGCGCCTGACAGTCAAGAACCAGGGAAAATACAGTGCGCAGAGCGCGCCTGACAGTCAAGAACCAGGGAAAATACAGTGCGCAGAGCGCGCCTGACAGTCAAGAACCAGGGAAAATACAGTACGCAGAGCGCGCCTGACAGTCAAGAACCAGGGAAAATACAGTGCGCAGAGCGCTGAGTATGTGAACGGAGCAATCGCTTGCTGCTGTTGTTATAATAGCTAGATCCATGCTTGCTGCTGTTATTATAATAGCTAGATCCATGCTTGCAGCCCGTGCAAAGCTCGCACTCACTCACAGCCGCTAACAACAACCAGAGCGGCCACGGAGGAGGCCATCTCACACGCAGCATTCTGAGTGATATTCTTATGGATAAATGGGCGGGTCATTCGGACATGCGTTAATGCGTTTAAAAATAAATAACGCGTTAATAAAAACTGTAATTAACGTGAGTTAACGCGATAATTTTGACAGCCCTAGTTAATACAAATAACTTTGGACACCAATGTGCAGTCCAGTGAGTGGTATAGCTGGTGTGTATCCGCCCATCATGCAAGAGTTCGCAGATTCAAATCCAGCCAGGATCATTCTTATGAGGGTTATATCTTTATACATATACAGTATATATCTATAAATATCTATATACATCTTTATATATATATACAGTATAACTGCCATAAAAATAAACAGCACGTTGTCGGGGTACGATCTGCCGATCTTACGCACTATAGACAAACACTTAACAACTGCCCCACGTTTACCAACAACCTGTTTGTTCCACAATCTCTAAATGGCAGGCAATGAATTTTGTGTTTCGACAACAAAAAACCCCAAAATATTCTATTATTGTTTTAGGACATTTCATCAAGAATGGAGCTTCTCTCCCGCTCACTTCCGTCAATAGAAACAGCGTGACTTTAGGAGTTAGTGCGCGGACATAGCGCTCCTCGTATTATTACGCCTCACAATATAGTTCCCCTTTTTATCCGCTGAGAAAATCGACATGTTACATTTCTGTGTTACTTTACCATATATAACTGTATTTAAATAGGGAACACGTGGAAGAGTTTGGTAGCTTCTAACGGGAGCTGATTTGGAACTATACAGTCTGTGGAAGAGGCTGTGTTTGTGCTGCGTTTGCATGACAGAGCACACGGACACAGACCAGACAGGTACATATCAACTAGTCTAAGGTAAGAACATGTGTCAGTATGTAAACACGGTGGCCTATTCCTTTAAAGGTGCTTGTCTTGTCTTGTCTTTGAATTTGGAGCTTCTGCTGCTGCGTGGCAGTAAGTTTTCCATGTCAGACCATTCCTGGTCGGCCTTAGGGGCCATGCGGGCATTTCCTGCCCTCTGGAACTGGCAGGTGGGGGCGGCTCTCCATGCTATGGACAGAAAACACATCACAGGGAGTCCGGCAAGATGGCGACCGCATAGGCAGCACGGTCGAGAGCTCTGAGACCTTCTCAACTTATTTAACCTTTCGTGTGGTCCAAAAAGACTAAAGAGTTCCTGTTATGAGCATCGATGACTATTTCAAGAAAACTGCTGTCAACATGCCAAAACCACAGAGGGGAAGGAAGACTGAAGGAGGCGATGAAATCCTGCACGCTATCCAAGAAGCTAGCCGCGGAGATGCTAACACTAGCTCTGGCCCTACGGCAGTAACATCTGATGCTAACGCCATCATACATGCTCTCACAGCGGTCATAGACAGCAAACTATCCGGTGTCACTGAACAGATTGAGAAAATGGAGACGTCCGTGACACACACGGTGGATAAAAAAATAGCTGATGTCACACAAATGATTGAAACAAAGCTGGCCTCTGTGCTGGAAGCCATCGCCGCCCGAGGATCTGAGATACAGGCCCTAGCCGCGAGAATGGATATCGCAGACAAGCAAATGGAAGCCATAGACCAGACTGCAGCTGCATCCGAAACCAAAATCGTAACATTGGAAAAACAAATCAAACAACTAAAAGAGCGCACTGACCAGCTGGAGAATCACTCCCGGAGATCTAACCTCAGAATACTGGGAATAGAAGAACGTGTAGAGGGGACAAACGCGGTGAAATACCTTGAGAGGTGGATCCCCGAGTACCTTCATCTTGGCACCGCAGACGATAGGATTGTCCTGGACCGAGCCCATCGCACACTGGGTCCGATGCCATCAAGCGGACAGAGGCCACGTCCCTTCATTGTCAAATTCCACTACTACTCCGATAAAGCCCGAGTGATGGAAGCCGCACGCAAACTCCACCAGAACGGGACCCCGCGTCAACAGAGGATCCTCTTCTTCAACGATTATTCAGCGGAGGTCGTCCGTAAGCGTAAAGCTTACGACGTTGTGAAAGCTCGACTCCGGGAGTTGGAAGTGGAATACGCGCTGTTATACCCAGACATCTTGAGGGTGAACACTGATGATGGAAAATATCGGCGCTTCTCAACCCCGGGTGAGGCCAACGTGTATGTTCGCACTCTGGAGCTGGCGCGTGCCCCGCCTTCTCTCTCTGCAGAAGGTGACTGACTGATGAACAGCTGATGGTATGTTGGAAGATTAGCCTCCATAATACGTGAATACAATATGTTGTTCTTCAAAGTACAGGGTTCTTTTTGAAGTGATAATGTTATGTTTCTAGACCACACGAACTATATTATTTTTAGATAGAGCTCAAGTGTAGACCATAGATAGTGGAAGCAGTCCTCTGTGGGTCTCAGTCTACCCCGAGCACAGCTCTGCTTTGGCACTGCCAGTTCTTTTTTGCGCAGTGCTTTGCCTTTCTTTTTTTTGGATGTTTTGAATTTGTTCCTTTTTCTTTGTTTTCTTTTTGTTCTCGAGCTGTTTGGAGCTCTGTTCCTCTCTCTCTTTACATAAATGTTAGACTAATGTTGACAAAGATATCACTTGCTCATCCTAATTTAATGTTTTGTTTTTTTCTTAAATTTATTTATTTTTGTCTTAATAGTTTTAAAATGAGTGATGGCTAAAACAGGATATTTAAACTGCATATCACTAAATGTCAAAGGAATTAATAATCCAATTAAAAGGAAAAAAATCATAACTTATTTAAAAAAACATGAGACAGATATAAGCAAAGGAAGGTTTCTCACCCATCATCTGTACTTCTTAGCAAGTTTTCCCTTGCTAAAAACTTGGAAAACTTGCTAAGAAGTACAGATGATGGGTGAGAAACCTTCCTTTGCTTTGACTAATCCCTGTACGACTGAGGGCTTACACAAACTTATGAGACAGATATTGCATTCATCCAAGAAACACATCTCACTGATATTGAGCATACAAAACTGAAACGCGACTGGATTGGTAACGTCTATTACTCCTCGTTTTCATCAAGTGCTAGAGGTGTAGCATTACTCATAAACAAAAATCTCAGATTTCAATTAAACGCTGTACAAAAGGATACCTCAGGTAGATTTATATTAGTCGACTGCATGATTAATAGGAACAGGTTGACACTGGTATCATTATATGGTCCTAATATAGATGATCCAATTTTCTTTAATAACTTAACCATGAAACTTGCATCCGTAGAGGGTCAATGTATTATGGGAGGAGATTTTAATCTTGTGTTGAACCCGTCATTGGATCGCTCAGCCCCCAAGAACACTATTCTGTCAAAATCTGCAACAGCATTGTGTCAAGGCATGAGTGAACTTGGGTTAAAGGATGTATGGAGATCGCGAAACCCGGGTAGAAAAGAATTCTCCTTTTACTCTAATGTTCACAATACATACTCTAGAATTGACATGTTTTTGATCTCACAAACACTATTGTCTCACATTAAAACATGCCGTTATTTAGCTGCAACCGTGTCAGATCACAATGCCCTAGTGATGGAAGTATCTATGTCACAGGAAGGACCTACCTCGTATAGATGGAGATTTAAAACATTCTTGCTTAAAGATCCTGATTTTATAAAATTTATGAACGACAAGTTAGACATATATTTGGAGACTAACTTAAACACTGCTTCTCACTCAATTGTGTGGGACACCCTTAAGGCATATATGAGAGGTCACATTATCTCATTTTTATCCCATAAAAACAAACAGAAGAGAGATCAATTATCACAACTAGAACGTGAAATAAAAATACTTGAAACTCAACATTCCCAAACCAAAAATCCTGAAACCTTTAGTGCATTAAATCAAAAACGGACTCTGTATGATAATTTTTGCACCAACAAAGCTGAAGCAGCCATGGCAAGAACAAAATATCATTACTATGAGTCTGGCAACAAAACTAGTAAGTTGCTTGCCTGGCAGCTAAAGCAAGAAGATGCAGAAACATTTATACAATGCATCAAAACCGATGATAACCAGTATTTAGAAGGCTCTAAGGACATAAACTTGGAATTCAAAACATTTTATGAAACATTATATAAAACAGAGCAGGCAACGGAAACAGAAATTAAAACCTTCCTTAATAAATTACCAATACCTAAACTAACAGCTGCAGATAGGAAACTACTAGATGAAGCGATTTTAGAACAAGAGGTTCACCAAGCCATCAAATCCTTACAAAATAATAAAGCCCCAGGACCTGATGGTTATCCAATTGAATACTACAAAACCTTTTCAGAAAAATTATTAACACCTCTAACAAATATGATCAGAGAGTCATTCCAAAAAGAAACACTTCCAAAAACACTGGAGTTGGCAACAGTTACGCTGCTTCCAAAACCTGGAAAGGATCCACAAAAGTGCAGCAATTATAGACCCCTCAGTCTCCTTAACTCTGATTATAAAATTTTATCAAAAATCATCGCTCAACGCTTGGAGAAAGTAGTCCCCAAAATCATTAACGCTGACCAAACGGGTTTCATCAAGAACAGACAAGGTGCAGATAACGTTCGGCGACTACTTCATGTTATAGAACACACAAAAAAACATGACCACCCCGCCGTGATCGTCTCAATGGATGCCGAGAAGGCGTTTGATAGGATAGAACCAAGCTTTCTTCTTGAGACAATGAGGGCAATGAATTTTGGTGAAAATTTTCTGTGTTTCATTCGTACCCTATTTGGCGCCCCTAGGTCGCAGATACTAACAAATGGAGTCCTGTCGGATGCCTTCTCTTTATCTCGGGGCTGTCGTCAGGGCTGCCCTGTCTCTCCCGCGCTTTTCTCAATTGCAATAGAACCACTGGCTATTGCCCTGCGATCAGACATATCTATTACCGGCATAAACATTGGAACGGGAGAGCACAAACTCGCACTCTATGCAGATGACTTGGTAGTATTTATATCTCAACCTGTCACATCATTTCCCTCGCTAATGACTAATCTAAAAAATTACAGTGCTGTATCGGGATACAAAATTAATTACTCTAAAAGTGAAGCCTTCCCAATCAACATGACAAACCACGACATAAGTCTACTTCCGGTTCCTTTTAAATGGTGTACGGAGGGCTTCAAATACTTAGGAATCACTATCTGTAGCTCTTGTGACAAAATATATGAGGAAAATTACGCCTTTTTACTTACTAAATCTAAAAAAGATCTACTGAGATGGATGGACCTCCCCTTATCATTGATTGGCAGGATTAACACAATAAAAATGAATCTATTACCCAAATTTATTTACCTATTCCAGTGTATACCACTGAAGGTTCCTATATCCTTCTTCAAGGAATTGGACAAATCACTTACTTCCTTCTTGTGGCACAACAAACTACCCAGAGTCAAACTCCTCACATTACAGGCACCTTATTCCAAAGGCGGCTTGAATCTCCCAAATTTCAGATTGTATTATCTGGCTGCGCAGCTTCGCGCTCTATGGATGTGGTTTCACTGTAAAGCAGATGAAGTAAAATGGTTGTCAATTGAACAATATGAAATCCAGGACACTCCGTTAACAGTCATTCCATTTTTGGAATCTAAAAAGAAACTAAAAACAATTACTCAAAACCCAATAATTTCCTCTACATTTGATGCCTGGCAGCAATTACACATATCAGTTGGACAAAACATAAATTTGTTGGTAAATTCACCACTCACAAATAATCCTAACATCCCAGCAGCCTTAGCGGATGGAATTTTACAAAATTGGGTGAGAAAAGGAGTAAAAATTGTTGGTGACCTTTATACTAATAATGTCTTTTTAAGTTTTAGTCAAATGTTAGAAGTTTATGATATAGATAAACGTAACTTTTTCAAATATTTACAAATTAGAAGCTGGATCAAGAGTCAAACTAAAGCTATTTTTCCACACAGACCTGAGGAATCTTTACTTGAAAAATGCATTTTAAACCCCAAATGCAAGAGAACTAAAGGTTTAATATCTACTGTGTATAAAATCATAATAGACAACTTACCGGCTTACGCTAGATATTTAAACAAAACAAGATGGGAATCTGATCTTGGGTGTATTTATACGGAGGATAATTGGAATAGATTATTGAAATTGGCACAAACAAAATTGGTGTCTACTAAACACAGACAAATTCAATTCAATATTTTCCACAGAACATATTTTACACCATATAGGTTAAGTAAATTAGGAAACGACATCTCTGATCAATGTCAAAGATGCTCCATCTCTGTTGGAACCCTTGTGCACATGCTATGGAGTTGTACCCATCTGAAGCCATACTGGACTCACATCATCGCAGTGACCTCTCGAGTTTGTGGACAGGCTCTGGATGCTGATCCTCGGATTTGGTTGCTGGGAGATGTAACTTTACTAAAGGTGAACTCAAATCAGAAACATTTTGTGTTATTAGCTGCAACAGCTGCCAAGAAGTGTATCCTGAAGGATTGGAGGAGTATCAATCCCCCCAGCCAAAGGCACTGGGCTAACGAACTTTTGTCATACTGCACACCAGAAAAAATTATGCATGCTATCCGAGGAAAACTAGACGACTTTGAACTGACTTGGACTCCTTTTTTGAATATGCTGACTCAACTTGACATGACCACAGACTAGATGTAAAACTGTGTCTATTACTGTTTGTCTCTTTTTATGATTATTTATTTTATTGTCATGCTGAGAGAGGGTTTTTATTTTTATTTTATTTTTGTTTATTTTTTGTTTTTTGTGTTTGTTCAAAAAAATGAAAACCATAAATAAAACATATAAAAAAAAAAAAAAAAAAAAAGAAAACACATCACAGGATTTGTTGTTAGATCTATACTGTATACTTTTGGCTCGGGCTGCCAGGGTTCTTAAGCTCCTTATGTCCTGGGAGGCAGGGCAGGCAGCTACCCCAAGGTGTTGGTTGATAGTGGTGTGGAGGTTATTGAGGAGCAGGGCCTTGAAGTTTTTGTCCTCCTCCATGTGTGCATAATTTTGGTTACCAAAATATGCTTTTCTCAGCCTGTGATAATAGGCTTCTGTTGGCTCGTCTCGAGCCTGTTTGACAGACAGGGCTGCAGTTAGTGTACCTGTTGCTCCAAAGTCGGAGTACTCTTCAATCAGGGCTTGGCAGATCCTTTCATAGTCTCGCTGCACAGTGGCCGGTGTCTTTCGATAAAGTCACCGACTTCCCTGTTTGAAGTGAGTCTTATCAGGAATATTGTATCTGCTGAGGATGCATGTGGCTGGGCGTCAAATCGGTCGATGTAGCGGGCGATCTTGTCGAAGTCGTGGCCTGAGTAGCTGATTCGACCCAACTGGTCTTCTGCAGGTTCATAGTCAAACGGTTGCTGGTAGTAGTAGTCCCTCGAGCGATTAAACTCTCTTTCGGCGTCCTCTAAGCTATTACTAGGGTGACAGTAGCTCAGAGACTTGGGTGACTCAGAGAGTTGTGGGTTCGAGCCCGACCTTCACCATCGACTCCCACTGTCTGCTGTCGTGGTGTCCTTGGGCAAGACACTTAACCTCTGGGAACACCAGCCACAGTGGGGCAGCTGCGGCTGTAAAGTGCCAAACTGCTGTTGTGTCCTTAGGCAAGACACTTCATAATGACATGTAAAGCGTCGTTGAGTGTCCAAACTCTCACTCCAAAGCGCTATATAAAACCGATGCATTATTATTATTATCATTACTGTACCTAAGGTCTGGTGGGGTGTAGGTACGGTGGTCCCTGCTTGGACCATAATTGGGTGTGGCCTGCTTGGCTGGGTTTGAGTCCCAACCCCCCAGGCCCCCCTTTCTGGTCGATCTTCTGAGCCGACTCGGTCGTCCCGGGATTGGTTCAGGTCCACGGTAGTCTCTGGTTACGGGTCCCCCCCATCCTCTTTGGCTTTAGTCCAGTGTTCCTCTTCCGCCTCCGTCGAGCAAAGACGTGTCTCAGACGCTCCTGCTTCTGACTGCTTGCTATCTCCTGTTTTTGTCTTTTTCCTGGAGTTTTGCCACAGACAACTTTTAGCAAGAATGGAAATGGTAAATTGGTCCCTCAACGCAATTGATTCTATCTTTTCAACACGTAAGCGTGGGTCTGGAGAGCCCGAGTGCCCGGACGGGACTTCACCAGCGGGGTATACTCTTGACAGCTGGAACAAGTGGCAGCCCCTCTGTCTGTCGACCCTGTCCATTGAAGATTCGGAAGACGTATATATCTTTGGCTTTTTGGTGGTGGGGATCCTCCTGTTTGGGCTTGGAGCGGTTCTCTTCTACCACAAATTCGGAGGCATGGCAGTTCGCAAGATTCACGACCTGCTGGCCGACAAAATTGATGGGATGTACAAGGAGCTTAGCCGAGTCGTGGTTGAGAGCGCTGTGGCTGGACATTGTTTGTCACGCTTGAACTCTCTGACCCGGCTTGGATTGGCCCCTGTGTACGGGGTTTGAGGGCGCCGCAATTCGGTTTAATTGGATTTAATAGAATATCTGCCTGTTTTTGACTGCTAGAATGCATACTAGATTGTCCCTTGTTACAGGAAGATGTGTTTTTCTCCTTGCTGTGTCTTCGCTCCTCTCTTATCTCACATTCCTCGGGCCAAGGCCATCATAATAAATCTGGTCTCTACAAAAATTTCACACTCTTTCAGTCTTCCAGTTTGGATCCCGCTCCCCCCGCCTCCCTCTGATCCCTCCCTCCCCTCCCCTCCTCACTGTGTTTCCGACTCACCCCCTCCCTGACCCCGCCCCCCTCTGACAGCCACATTGGACCGGCAGCCAGAGGTGCTCATCCCGAGAAAAAAATCCGTGGTTTATAAAAAGCACAATGTTTTCTATCCAACTGTCTGTTGTAACCTGTATGTTATTGCTCTCTGCTGTTTATTCTACTGTTTGTCGCATGGCGCCGGAAAAATGGCGCCGTGGCAAGAGCTCTGGTGTGTGTCGTCTCTGTCTGGCGCACACCGGGGTAGTCTTGCACAGTTTTTCCAATGTGGTTTTACTGCAAATGGCAAATAAATGAATCTGAATCTGAATCTGAATCTGTTGTCCTGTTCGCAACTGCCCAGGGGACCAGCGCATGTGGTTCCTTTCTGCCGTTGTTTCCTCTGATCTGTGGGAGTTGTGTTCTGCGGTTCTGAGTTCTGCCTGTGGATTGGCAGCTTCCAGGCTGAGCCCAGCCTGGGGGTGGCGCTGGGTCGTCAGTTTGACCTGCGCTGCACAGAGTTCTTGGCTCTGTGCGTTAAGTGAGTGATGGGCCTCATAGAGCCCGGGATTGGAGACAGAGGGACCCACTTCCCCCATGTTGTATTTCTTGTAGTTGTATAAAAACCTCAGATTTAGATGTTGAGCACACTTTGGGTGGTGTCTGGATTAGTATAGAAATATTTTAAAACTACTCGAACCAGGTTAGTGGGAAGTTTTATTTCAAAGCGGCAGAAAAGTTATATCAGGTTAGTTAGGTTAAGTTTTGTAACTGTAACATTCAACACTGAAACAGTGCTTTTGTGTGCAGCTTAATTACCCCCTGTAAAAATATCCATCACGCAAAGAGAACAGAGAGGCATTCGAACTGCATTATATATGGTACATCAATGAAGAATTTATAAATAGCGTTGATAGTATTATCTGTGTGGTCACGACACATGCTATTTTGAGAAGAAGCAAAATAAAAAGTGAACTTTTGAGTTACTGGTATTTAGCTTTATCTATCGTGCTTATTTGTACGTTTAACTTAAACAGGCAGGTTTGTGAGAGGTAGAGGCTCTGTTTTATTCAGAGCGTGATTCTCTCTGGCTGCCACTAGGTGGAGTCAGACTCCTACTGAGCAGTTCTGGATACTCTCGTGGGAGGTCTCAGAGTGGGACGTGCCCTCTTGAGACTGGAGCATGCGCAGCTTCTGATTGGCAGAGTGCGTCTTTGGGAGCCAAGGTGTTAACACAGCATTGAGCCAGGGATGGCTGCTTAGCAGTGCACTTTTGGCTGAGGAACTTCAGTTAGTTCATCTGAATTGCACCTCAACTTTGTCTGAATCATGGCCAAATATTATACATGTGTTTCTGTTTAAAGAAAGTTACAGCATAATACACACATTACAACAGGAAAGCGTGACAGCTTCAGGGCACTACGCAGACGGGACTTTCTGTGTACTCACTTTACGACTTAGAATCTCAATTTGTGAATTGATTTGCAATGTTGATAACAATAGTTATGAAATTTAGCGTTCCTCACACAGGGCACCAATATGTAGGGAATTTATAGGTATCTGTCCTATTTGTAATTGATTAAACCTAATTAATTGGAAGAGATAAGTTATTCAAACTTATTTATTGATATTTAAGTTATTAAATCCTAAGGGCACCAGTCTGTGAGAAGACAAAAGGTTTTATTGATTACATTACAGTCTCATTTTCTAAAGGTGTGTGTTCTAAAACACCGTTGTTAATTTACTAAGATTATCAAAACATGCGCTGCAACAGCTTTGTTGACTGTAATTTATTCACCAAGGCAGTTGTAATCAAATCATTTTAATGCAGCAGTTCAATTCCATAATTACAGTACACTTATTTTATGACATTCTAGGCCAGAGTCAGAGTGTTCAAGGAGGCCCAAAATTGAGTCCGTAATCTCAGTCCAAACAGTTGGCATTGCATCAACCACGAGCAAGAAGCGGTCTTGCTCTGATAAACATTACTTACTTTGATTACGTTGCGCTGGTGGAAAGGCAGCATTTTGTTGTACAGAGTCCGTTTCGTTCCGTGATCCAGTGGGAGGTCAGGGGTTCTTCCGCATTGTTTGAAATACACAATATATTCACAGTATAAATATTGTCATTGAGTTATTGGGATCAATTTAGTCCATGTCCAGATATTATTTCCTTGATGATGTGGAGTCTGTTCCCTTTCAACAGTGTTCTGTTTTCAACAGTTAATAGATTAACAAACCCCCCTGTTCAGATGCCATTAGAGCTAACTTCCAAACGTAAATGCAATGAGTTTGCACATTTTTTCAATGACAAGGTTCAAGGCATCAAACACGCCATTGTCTCCAATCCACAGATAACCATCCAACAGCCAGAAAGGCTCTCTGAGCTAACTTACTTTGCACCTGTACATGATAAAAATGTCCAAGAGATAATCTCCAGTTTGAGCTCCTCCACATGCAGCCTGGATGTACTACCCACTAGATTTCTAAAGTCTGTTCTGAGCAGTCTGTTACCTTCACTCACACAGATAGTAAACATATCCCTTCATTCTGGAATATTCCCAAAGGCCCTGAAAACTGCAGTCATCAGGCCCCTGCTAAAAAAGAGCAGTCTCGATGCTACGGTACTTAACAACTATCGTCCCATCTCAAATTTATGGGGAAAGTCCTTGAGAAAGTTGTCTACCAACAGCTAAATAGATTTTTTATAATCAACAACTCATTTGATATGTTTCAGTCCGGCTTTAGACCCCACCACAGCACTGAGACTGCTCTCGTTAAGGTTACAAACGATATCCGGCTGAACACTGACGCAGGCAAAGTCTCAATCTTAATCTTGTTAGATCTGAGTGCTGCCTTTGACACTGTCGACCATGAGATCCTCTTACAGAGACTAGAGGACTGGGTTGGCGTCGCTGGCACCGCCCTAAGTTGGTTTAGGTCTTACCTTGAAGACAGGAAGTACTTTGTGGAGATTGGAAACTGTGTCTCAGATCATATGGCCCTGACCTGTGGAGTACCACAGGGGTCGATCCTGGGACCTCTTCTGTTCAATCTCTACATGCTGCCGTTAGGTCAGTTAATACGCAGAAACAAAGTGTCCTATCATAACTATGCAGACGACACTCAGATCTATGTCTCACTGACTGCAGGAGAACATGGACCAGTGGACTCACTCCTTCACTGTATCCAACAGATCAGTGAGTGGATGCAAAACAACTTCCTTCAGCTAAACGCAGACAAAACTGAAATTATTGTCTTTGGTCCCCAGAAAACAAAGAGAGAGCGTCATCTGTCATCTACAGTCTCTCTCCCTAAAACCTTCAAACAAGGTCAGAAATCTAGGGGTAATACTGGACTCAGACTTAAATTTTAATAGCCACATCAAATCAGTAACATCAGCAGCTTTTTACCATCTAAAAAACATTGCCAGGATCAAAAACATAGTGTCTAAAGCAGACTTGGAGATTCTTATCCATGCATTTGTCTCCAGTAGGTTAGACTACTGCAATGGCCTGCTCACAGGTCTGTCCAAACAGGCTGTAAAACAGCTGCAGTACATTCAAAATGCAGCAGCTCGAGTCCTGACTAGAACCAGGAAGTACGACCATATTAGTCCTGACTAGAACCAGGAAGTACGACCACATTAGTCCTGACTAGAACCAGGAAGTACGACCACATTAGTCCTGACTAGAACCAGGAAGTACGACCACATTAGTCCTGACTAGAACCAGGAAGTACGACCATATTAGTCCTGACTAGAACCAGGAAGTACGACCACATTAGTCCTGACTAGAACCAGGAAGTACGATCACATTAGTCCTGACTAGAACCAGGAAGTACGACCGCATTAGTCCTGACTAGAACCAGGAAGTACGACCACATTAGTCCTGACTAGAACCAGGAAGTACGACCACATTAGTCTAGTTCTCAGGTCTCTGCACTGGCTTCCTGTGGCTCAGAGAATAGACTTTAAAACAGCTCTGCTTGTTACAAGTCTCTCCATGGCCTCGCACCAAAATATATTAGTGACATGTTAGTCCCATATGAACCAGCCCGGACTCTGAGGAGCACAGGGACTGGACTCCTGCTGGGACTCTGAGGAGCACAGGGACTGGACTCCTGCTGGGACTCTGAGGAGCACAGGGACTGGACTCCTGCTGGGACTCTGAGGAGCACAGGGACTGGACTCCTGCTGGGACTCTGAGGAGCACAGGGACTGGACTCCTGCTGGGACTCTGAGGAGCACAGGGACTGGACTCCTGCTGGGACTCTGAGGAGCACAGGGACTGGACTCCTGCTGGGACTCTGAGGAGCACAAGGACTGGACTCCTGCTGGGACTCTGAGGAGCACAGGGACTGGCCTCCTGCTGGGACTCTGAGGAGCACAGGGGACTGGACTCCTGCTGGGACTCTGAGGAGCACAGGGACTGGCCTCCTGCTGGGACTCTGAGGAGCACAGGGACTGGCCTCCTGCTGGGACTCTGAGGAGCACAGGGACTGGACTCCTGTTAGTGCCCAGAGTCAGAACTAAACATGGGGAGGCTGCTTTTCAGATTCATGCTGCTGTAAGGTAATAAAATGCACTGCCCCCGTGATGACCCAGGCCGGTTGTGTGTGAGATAACAAAAACACACGGCTTGAAACATCTAAGGCGATGGAGGTCGGATAGAGCACCACAATGGCTCACATAGATACAGCAGTCATCTCAAAGACAGTGATCGTCCCCAGAGCACACCTCTGGCCCCCACCCCCGGCGAGCTCAAAGGGGGCCAGTGGGTCTGCATCGCCTCAAACAAAGCCATAGACATCACCCATGGGCCGGCGATCCGGCAACGGCGTTCCACCACCCCCCCCAGTGGACACGGGACGCCAATACACCTGAGACGGACAACTGAAACCACGGATGAATATGTTGTTTTGCTAACATCTTAAATCAGAAAACGTGTGTACCATTGTCTGTGAACAAGGTGTGTTGTGTGTCTATGTCTAAGTAACGTGTATGTGGTTAAAACTATGATTTAATGAAAGGAGTTCTGGAGGCGCGGAAAGTTGACGTCATAAGACACGCCCCCAGAGCCGGAACAAAAACAGAGACACAGCCACTTTTCGTGTGAACTTTTGCTTGTGAACCTTTTGGGAACTCTCTTTGAAACTTTCTCTGGGCCAGTGGGCCGTGTCTTGGAGCGCGGCCCACTCCCCTGCGCGATCCAGTGGCCCACAACTTCAACCCAGGCACAGGTTGGAGCTCGCTGCCCGGACAGCTGCCCGATCCTTTTCCCATCGAGCTGAACTCGACTTGCCTGTCCCGCAGCGGCGAAACTGCTTTCCAACTCCCACCAAAAAGGAGCACCGTGGACCATCGCGCCTCAAGCCACCTCTGGGCTTCCCGGGACCGATCCCCGCTCCCTGCTCCCGTGTGTGGGAAAGACTAGAGTGTGTGCGTGCCCGCTCTCCGTGCGTGAGGAAGACTGAAGTGTTCGACCGCCTGACCCAAACGGGTGGAAAGCATCTTCACCTCTGGGACTTGGCAGTAACAGTAAGACTGATTGGAGTTGTATTGTGTGTGTGATGGTGATGTGTTTCTGACATTCCTGTTCATGTGACTTATCATCCTTGTGTGATCCCTCCCGGTTACCGTTCCCGTTTCTATATGTAGTTAATAAACCCACGCTAACGTTTAAGAGTCGTCAGTGTTCTTTGTATAATTCATGATATCCCTGGCCGATATAGAGCTCAAGACCTATCAGATTATGAGACTGATCGAGGCAGATTAGTTGGATCTGTGCAGACTTTTTCAAACTCTGCTGGTGCCCAAAATAAAACTCAGATCCCACTTGTGTAGAACGGCAAGACTCTGATCTGGAGACTAGCCGCTCTACACATTCACTTTCTTACCCTACACTGCTAAAATCTGGAACAATCTTCCTGAAGATGTGAGACAGGCCTCCTCTCTGACAATGTTTAAAAGCAGGTTAAAGACAGTTCTGTTTAGCTGTGCTACAACTGAGGGATTTTATATTTTTATCTTTCTTTTTAATGTTTTGTGATTATTTATGACGTTAATGCTTTCTTGTTTTGTTCAGCATTTTGAGTTGCCTTGTGTATGAATTGTGCTATACAAATAAACTTGCCTTGCCTTGCCCTTCCCCAGGGGGTTGGTGAAGCATTGTTCTTGCTTTTAGCTGACCCTGCCCCTGGCGTTGGTGTGACAGAGTCTCGACTCCAAAAGCAGCAGGAGGCCCACACCTGATCGGAGAGGTCTGAAGGATCAGTTGAAATAAGACCCATTCTTAGGATTCCACATTGCCTCCTCTGTATGCACGATCCCCCTACACTAATAACAAATGTGACTTTTTAAAGAATATTTACATCCACCATGTTTTTTGAATTGTATTCATAGGCTTAGAATTTATGCTCACACTCAGAGAGCAGCCATCCTCCTGTGGACTCACCACCTGCAGAGGGTCAGTGAGGGGCTGGTGCTATGAGACTTGTGTGGCATCTCTGACTGCCACCCCCCTGACCCAGAAATGGATTAAAGGGTAGAAAATGGATGGATGGATGGCTTAGAATTTAACTTATAAGTGTCCATGAGAGAGGAGTGCTATCCGTGTCAATGCGCCATCTTGAAAAACAGTGGTGGATAAGGGACAAAAAGGATCGCCTTTTAGTTTCACATGAGCTACTAAGTAATCTAGTAAGTAATCTTTATTTATATACCGCCCTTTCACTGCAGATCTGAGTCTCAAAGCGGTTTACAATTGTTAATTTTTGGGCATTTGTCTCCCACTCCACACAGAGATGGGAGCGGGGCCAGTACACAAGGCGCATGCCAGAACTATTGGACATATTTTTAGTGGTAGGGGAAACCGGAGTACCCGGAGGAAACCTACGCAGACACGGGGAGAACATGCAAACTCCACTCAGAAAGGCCCTGGTCCGACCGGGATTCGAACCCAGGACCTTCTTGCTGAGAGGCGAGAGTGCTATCCACTCAGCCACCGTGCCGCCTGATATCGTTGGTTTTACCGTGGCCTCACAAGTTGGAAGAAGGAACCATGGAGGACCACAGCTATATAAAAGAACCATGGAGAGTGTGATGGCAATCTGCCTGTGACTCGGGGACGCCAACTCACTCCCCCCTGCTGCTCTATCCAGCTAACCTGCAGGAAGGAGCCAGTCCTTCCCGCACCGCCAGACAATGATGCAAATCACTGTCTCACCCCTGTCCCTTTCGCATCTTGCATCTGTATGCCTGCCTCTCTACATCCTGCATGACCATTGTCTGTCTGTTTGCACCTCCATGCCACTGTCTGATTGCCTCACCACGGGCATGGCGCCTACGCTCCCTATGCGCCTCCTGTACTGGTGGCCCCCTCCCATCTGTTGTGGGCGTGACTGTCTTTATGTGTTGTCTATGTAAACAGGAACCTGAGCTCTGCGCGCCAGAGCTGGTGTATGCTGCCTTTTGTATATGTTAGCTCTCCGCACGTGTGTACAATAAACTTACGCTCCTGAATTAAGACAAAGACCTTTGAGCTTCTTCCTTGCTTTGGATAGAAACTTCTATAACAATTTGGCGTTGCTGGCATGTCTTGGCATGGGATCTTTCCGGCGGGGACGAGCGGCTGCGTTTGGCCGACCTGGAACAACACCAGCCTCTGCTCTATTTGGAGACAAAGGGAGGGCGCGCTCGTCCTGCGCGTGAAAGGAATCTTTGGCCACACAAGACCAAAAAGAACCTGATTTGGTGAGTTTTGTCTTTTCATCTGCGTAACGAGCCCAGGGCAGCACTTAAGTGTACACGGGGATTTGTTTATTTACGTATTTTTGGGGTATTTCATTCATTGCCACAGCATAGACTGTGTGCGGGATTTTTGGGGGTATTTTGTTCTAGATTGAAGCTAGCGGCTGCGTGTTAGTATCGCTCAGTAAGCGACCCTGAAGATAATCTCTAGTGCCTTCAGCCAGGCCCGCTCCGTTTCAAGAACGCGCGCTCGTTGGGTATATAGAACCCACGGGGGGGGGAACGGAGCGCTCCAAAGTGAGTAAGAGCAGGGAGAGACTAAACGGGTTAGGTCCATTGTTCTGTACGAGAAAATGGGGAAAAATCAATCTAGAGATGCCACACCGAGGGGAATGTTGACGTCCCCCGTTACAATGGCAATGGGAAAACAGTTCGGATCTAAAGCTATGGAGTGCTTGCCTATGGTGCAGTTCATTTGGCTTTTCCGATAGAGGCTATATGTCTCCGAATCAATTACGCATCTTGCGTGATAATTTAGAAGAAGAAGGGAAGAAAAAATATACTTGGTTTTAAGAATATCACGGCAAAAAACGTTAGAGAAAGAAATATGTAAAAACAATAGCTCCTCCGCTTTTCACCGAAGCGGAGAACGCACAGGCGGACGCACAGGCGGACACACAGGCGGACACACACACACACACACACACACACATCCCACACACCCCCACCCTACCGCCCTTTTTCCCCTACTAACAATAAGTGTGCACCCAAACAAGGCTTTGGGTTTTTAAAAAATGAGCAGACTACTGTTGTCCCCTTTTCCTCTCCCTGTCCAGGTCTGTCGGCGCTTTCCTCCGCGCTCTGTCCTCTGCCTCAAAGCCCCAGCACCAGCCCCACGCCCCAACCACGGCGGCGCTCGCACCAGCTGAGACCCCGCGAGAAGTGGGCCCAAACCCGGGAGCAGAAGAAGAAGCGGCGGAAGCAGATACACGCTCAGGAAACCGCAGAAGAAGAAGCGGCGGAAGCAGATATGTGAGACACCGACAACTGCTTTGGAGGCCAGAGACAAACTGCTCCAAATCCCGTGACTGTTCCCCACGGAGGCGGCAGCGTGAAACACCAAACGCACCCGCTGAAACCTCGTTGAAAGTTGCCCCCGCACCGCAAACAGAAGAAGCCATTGGGACCGGCACGTTTGGGTATTAACCAACCCTCATGGACCACAGGCTAACATTATTTGAACGCTTTGGGCTACCTGGGCCTCCTGCGGACTTTGAGAAACTTCCACAGCCCGGCGGAAAGACTGTGTGCTCGACATGGGTCGAAGGACTGTTACCGGAGGAGGCGTTAAAGGCAGAGGGCCTCTCAAGCTCACACGGGGCCAGAGGACGGCAGAGGCGGGCGTGGAGGAAACACGAGCGACTGACCAAACCCGGGTTCACATTCGTCACCAAAGCGACCGCTCATGTAAGTTTGAACAACAACAAATTGCAATTGGCACTTTTTAGAGATAATTCATGCTGAATTCCCGTAATATACGCTAACAATCTGTGGTGTAAAAGTTAAAATTCTGGATGACTCCGGGGCGACAAATTCTGTGCTAAAAAGTGACAGCCTTTCTGTCTCCCCTAAAATGAGTGGCCGCTTCACATTCTCATTAGCAGCGTCGGGAGAGACGACTAAAGAGCAATTTACGTCACCGCTAACGTGTTTTGATTCTCAGGGCAACCAGCTTAAACATTCGTTTCTATATTCCCCATTGTGCCCGGTTAATCTACTAGGCCGAGACCTTATGTGCAGACCCAATTTAAATCTGCTCTCAACACCAAGCGGCCTACGGGTGGTACACGCTAGTGACCTAGCAAATGCTCCATGTTTCACCGGCATGCACAAGGAGGCACCGGTCCCAAAAGTTAACTACCACTGGAAATTGACACCAAACCCTGAGATTGCTAAGTTATTAGCCACAACAGTGGATAGAGTTACGCCCGCACAAAATTTGGAGGTCAACCACGCGAACGACCTAAGCTGCTCTCTCCGGTCGTTCCCAGACAATAACTTGGAGTTTGAAAATTCATGCAGTGTAGTGAAGATAGGCTACAAACGGAGTACGTTTATTGGGATAGGCACCACTCCATGGTATCTGTGCTACTTAATGAGCAACAAAAACATTTTATTGTGAAACAAAGGTGAAGTATTAAAGTTTGAGACTAATTTACATTTTTAATGAATCCGACCTGGCTTTATTGAAAAAGAAAAAAGAAGGAAAATAAACATTTTCAAGTAACAAGAGCTCATTAGAGATATAGGGGACACAATCTGTGATAAGCCCGAAGTACAGACCACGTGGTAAACACTAAAGTTGGAAATGGATCCTTTTAGGAAAAATCTCTCAAAGCTTTGCATGTTCTGCAGGCTCTGAAAGTTGCAACAATAGAAATAGCTCATGAGACAATTGTAATTGGACATGGAAAAATATAACAAAGTTAAAATTACAGGCCTTCTGTGTGTGTTATATGTTTGTGTGTGTTATATGTTTTGTGTACGTTATATGTTTGTGCGTCATGTCAAGTGCACTACGTTGACCTTGACAGACTCTGGACCAATATAATAACGTGGGGAGTCGGCCTGTGTGAGTGTGTTGTGAGTGTGTTGTGAGTGTGATGTGAGTGTGTTGTGAGTGTG